CCACTCTCGTTCTGGTTGGTTATTCTATCCATGGCACAGTATTTTGACTTGTGTTGTACGTAGGTACAGATAATCTGTTGGTCTGTGGAAGAATTTGTCCGTCTAGAAGACTGTGAAGGTTGTCTGAATGCGTCTGTCTCTTACCGATCTGCAGTGAAGAAGTGAATGCAGATCCTCTGATCTTACTACAGAGAGACAGAGAGTTCCGGAACACACACCAAAGCCACCTGTGATCATGATGATGTCATCTGGTGAGGATGTCATTCCAGTGATGTCATATGTGATGTCACACACACACACACACCTGCATGCAGTAACCAACACACTACAACTACAACTCCCAGCATGCTTAGCGGCGGGAAACTACAAAGGGTAAAAGGGAAAGTGCGATCAGTTTGTCCCACTTTGTGACTTTAAAAGCAACATAAATGTTCGTGCTTCAAATGTTTTACAGTTACTCGTCGCCAAATTCGAGGTTTTGTCATATGCCGTTTCCGTGGCAACGCATTCCTCGCCATAAAACACGATATCGCTGCAACTCAAAGGAAAATGTTCCGATCGTCACCAAACTTCACGTGTATATCACCGGTCCACGCCTCAAGACTTCTATGCTCAAATTGTGTGGTTTAGACGTATGCTGTTGCCATGATGTCGTCGTAAGTCAATGGTATATATTCTGGTCTCCCATAAGAGAAAATATAGCTCCACTAAAATGAATGCACCTTTTTTGACTGTAAATAAAGTTTGATTTGAATACAATTGAACCGTATAAATTAGGTGACATTTTTTTTATACATTTTTTTTTTATAAATATTGTGTTAAATTATTTTACATTATAAATGTCTTTAAATTATGTTTGAATACTTTTCCTAATTTTATTTTTATTTTTCATTTAACTTTTTATTGCATATTTTTACTTTAACTTCTTGTTTTTATCTAAATATTTTTTCTTGTGTATTTTCTTTACTCACTTTTCATTTTATTGCATCTTTGAAATTGAAAAACTGTCAGAAAATGTAATTTCCCTCGGGGTAAATAAAGTATTTCTGATAATGATTCACTACAATGCACCTGCACATCATAACAAATTATTATTTATTATTTAATTTAAGCCTTTTCAAAATCATCCCCTGATTTATTTCATCTCTAATTTATTTGTATGTATTTTTATTTTAATAGTTCTCTACTGATCTGTAGAGATGAGGGTGAGAAGAGTGTAAGTTAGAACAGAGCACCAAGGAGAATAGTGTGTGTGTGTGTGTGTGTGTGTGTGTGTGTGTGTGTGTGTGTGTGTGTGTGTGTGTGTGTGTGTGTGTGTGTGTGTGTGTGTGTGTGTGTGTGTGTGTGTGTGTGGTCTCCAGATGTGCACACACTGCCCTCAGTCTGTGGACAGCAAACACTCTGAAGTGTGAAGTGTGCCGTGACCTCTGGCTCCCCATGTGGCCGGCTAATGACGTTTGTTCAGGTCTCATTTTATGACTGAATTCACAAGATGGTGACACCTCCGGATGAATTCTTTATCACAAGTACCAAAAAAATAGCGATTCACCCAAAGACTTAAGCCTGAAACAGCACAATCTTATAGAGAGAGGTCAAATCAAAACAGAAATATGCACGGTGGCATGTGGCTGTGCAGCGCCACAGGGTTAGGGTTTGAGACTAATTATTCCTGTTTGTTCTTTACCATGGCTGTGAACATCTCGAGCGGATACAAGCCTCTCTAAGACAGAGAGCTGCACATTACATCTGAACCTGCATCTGAAACGTTTAATGCAACAAAAACTAAAGCTTTATGAACCTTTTTGTAATAAATATCCTTTTCCCTTTCAGGTTGAAGCCATAAATAAATTCCTTCCTTCCTCATCATCAAATTCATAGCCTTTTCAAGGGTCTCGCAGACCCAATGCCTTCATAATTGAAGGCCTCAACACGGTATATTTACATTTTTTAAATGAGAACCAGTAGGCCCTACGGAAAAATACAAAATAATTCCTATTCTCCCGTGGGAACCATGAATGTATTATGTTGCATTCAGAAAGTTGTATAATAAGCTGACACGAGATAACTGCATACATTTGGGTCACGCTGTGTTCACATTACATTTCCTAGGCTCATACTGCTGGCTCACTTCAGTGCATGGAGAAACTATGAAACATGTATAACCCTCTCATACGCCTTGCTCATCTTTTATTCTGCACAAGTTCAAACAAATGCTGAACATGCAAATATGAAATGAGCCAGCAGCACTGTTGGCAAAGCACCGCCAAAGCCTCGCAGTCCAGTAACACACACACACTGTGATGAAAACTAGAGACACACACAAGGAGACTTACACGCCGGCTCAGAATGTAGACCTCTAGTGTTAAAACTAAACAGACGCACAGACAGGGAAACACAAACGCCCCTCCCCATTTGTCGCACAGACCCTCATAGATGGTGTTCTCTCCACTGTTTTTCATTTCGGCACATTAGCCTCACACTGATCATAATGTGGAGAAATCCACACACGGCTCAAGTCTGACGTAAGCGTGGTGACGGGCAGGTGAAGCTCAAACAGCTGAAACTGTGTGATGCCATTGAAGGGAAACTCAGGGTGGAGCCGCCTCCGCCCGCAAGGAGAAAGCTGCACTTGTTCCCCCGGCGGCAGAAAGCCTGGATGTGCTCTGCAACATGTTTTAGATACAATGAGAGCTTGTTTACACATCAGGAGGCTAAGAGAGCTCTGGGAGAACATGCAGCACATTGAGCGGGGTGTTTCCAGGTATAAGAGGTGAGACAAACAGGATACAGGAAATGGGCCTGCTTCTTAAAAAGGGTCAATCCAAAGATCCCTGCTACATAATGCACACAGTGGGGGTGTTGTTCAGAATGAGCTCATGCTACAATGGTCACGGCAAAACATTTTCTTTCAAGAATGTGTGGCATTAATGGTCTGCATGTACACTCGGAGCCTCCATTAGAAGTAGAAGTACTTCATTCAAAGTACATTAGTATAAGCAGCCACATGTAGTGAATGTGAAGTCCTCATTCTGCAGACGTGAGTCCTGTGACAGGTTACACCGAAGCTACAATGTGAGTTTTTAATGTCTCTGCTTGAGGTGGAGCTGCAGTTTCAACCAGATACATCTGAGCAGCCACAAGATTATTAATGTGGAAGGAAAGGCAGTTTTACATTGCCATAGGGGTTGTTTTCTGTATTACCTTGTCTGTTTGTCAGCAGGATTTAGTCAAAACTGCTGACCCGATTTTCATGAAACGTAGTGGACCCAAATCAAGGGGCCAATACACGCTTGTGGGTCTCATTTAAATGAAATCATCAGGGATAGTTGGGGATATCATAATTATAATAAGGTATATTTTTACCGTATCACTGAGTTACATGCGGCTCTGGATACTCAGAAGAACAGACTCAAAATGAAAGCGTAATATCATTTTTAGAAGCAAATGCTTAGGGCTGTTAAAAACGTTCATTTTAATCACAAATTGTTCAGTTTGGCCCCAAAATCTGATCCTTTAAAGAGAATATTTAACTTGGTAAAGTGAAGCTGGGCGTTGTTGGATCACATGCATCCAACATGTGTCTGTCTTACTGGCCTTTAGCTGTAAGGTGTAGCAGTGGTACAGTGGGAGGTGAAGTTATTCATCTGTACAAAGAGTGGTGTGTGTGTGTGTGTGTGTGTGTGTGTGTGTGTGTGTGTGTGTGTGTGTGTGTGTGTGTGTGTGTGTGTGTGTGTGTGTGTGTGTGTGTGTGTGTGTGTGTGTGTGTGTGTGTGTGTGTGTGTGTGTGTGTGTGTGTGTGTGTGTGTGTGTGTACCCGCCCCAGCCTTCAACACAGGGCGTTTGTTTTTGTTTGTTCCCGGTCCTGGAGGTTTGCTGTTAGCTCTGAACTGAGTCCACGTGTGAAGAGGGAAAGAGACCAAGATGTTCCACAGATCTCCCTTTAGAGACCAAGCAGCCATCCCATAACCTTAAGATATATTTTGTGTATGCTACTAGTGAGACAGGCTATATTATAATTGAATAATTGGACTTGATCAAACCAAACAGACCCTAGTTCCAGCACCTTACATTTCGTTTTGGAGTAGTACAGTTACTACTTTTATACAATAGTTGTAAAGTAGTAAAAATAGCCCCAACTTTACCAGTTGCAACTTTGGCAATACTTTGGTAATTATAAATCAAATATACTGTAGTTAGTGTTGTGAAAACGGCCACTCTGAATGTGTAACTTTACTTACGGTATAACTTGTGTACTTTTACTTACTTGACTTTTAAATGCAGGACATTTACTTGAAACAAAGTATTTTTAAAGTGTGGTATTGTTACTTTTAAAGTAAATTAGAATGTATGAATACTTTCCCCACCATTACACCTCAGGTTCTGGAAACTGTGGAACTATTATAATTATGTTATATATATTTGAATACATAAGTATGACTAAATGTCTAACTTACAAATTCAATCTTTAAATATTCTTTTGATCGGTGTTTTTCCCCCTTCATAAGTAGTTCAAAGGTCATTGTCATGTCGTTAAGGCTCACACAGTGTCCACTTGTCATATTGGATTATTCTTTATTTCCACCATTACCTTAAACAAGATTTTTATTTTGGGACAGGGCCTGGTGTTGTACACTCTGGATGTGATGTGTTATTTCCCCTCTGGTCTGCCGTGACGTCACCACGGGGAAACAGCTCAGAGGCCTCTGCCCTGACTGGTCGAGGACATGCTTCTAAGTTGATGTGTAATACATTTATTTGTAGTTTTTATAAAGTTGAGCACTTTGTAGCATTAAGGAATACCACAAAGTGTGAAGGTGAGGCTGTCTCCCTCCTCCGGTGTCACTCTGGTGTGACTTAGAGGAGGGTGAGTGGGAGGAGATATGCAGATGATGCCAGCGGGGCCCTATTAGTGGCATCTAGAGTCGGCAAAGCTCACAGTGGACTGTTGTCACTCTAACAGAGACCACCACACCCACAGCCAGCGTCAGGGTCAACACTCAGGGTGGCTTTCTGCTCAGACACACACCTACTGCAGAGACTCTGCTCTTTTTATTCAGGAGGTTCTGTGTTTCCAGAGGGCTGACAATCCATAATATCCATTTGAAGTGAATACAGTGAAGTATTTGGGGTCACTTGACAGAGGAGTACTTTTTTTTCATCTTTACCTCAGTTTGAAGACTCCTTTTACAAAGCTTTTGACATTGGATTTCCAAGGATGCATTTTGTGAGTCCTCTTGTGTTGGTGACTTTATTTTTGTCGCTGATTGAAGCCAAGTTCTACAGACCGCTCCAGTTTAACCAGTACAAGGCTGGACCCACTCAATACCATGAGCAGGGGAAACCCACCAGCAGACACAAGTAAGTTCTTTCTCTAACTGTCTTTCAGAAATCGAGTTTACATCATTTGAGTTTTGGCTTTCAGTAATAAAACTTTGTATTTTTAAAAGCCAGCTATATTGATGTGCAACACCTTTTATCTCTTCTCAAAGGAACCACTGTGCCTACGTTGTTGAAAAGACGGTGTCCTTCACCGTGCAGGATGGGGCAGCTCCATATGTGAAAGCTGAGTACAACAAGTGTTCCTGGGGTCAGAAATGTCCAACTCTCCAGTGAGTAAATTACATTTCTTCTTCTTGATATTTCTATATATCCATGATTCACATTACTTCAGGGTACCAGAGTCAGAGGGATGTTTCTGATTGGTGCTGGTTGTTCCCTCAGGTATCGTCTGATGTACAAACCGTTGTTCAAGGTGGCACATAAGACCGTCACAGAGCTGGAGTGGCGTTGTTGTCCCGGATACTCCGGTTATGGCTGCATGGAGGGACATCCGGTTTACCAACACCCCATGAAAATGATGCCACCATTTAAGGGCCCACCAATGAAAGGCCCGCAATTCAAGGGCCCACCAATGAAAGGCCCACAGTTTAAGGGCCCACAGTACAAAGGTCCCATGTCTAAGGGCCCACAATACAAAGGTCCCATGTCTAAGGGCCCACAGTACAAAGGTCCCATGTCTAAGGGCCCACAGTACAAAGGTCCCATGTCTAAGGGCCCACAGTACAAAGGTCCCATGTCTAAGGGCCCACCGTACAAAGGTCCCATGTCTAAGGGTCCCATGTTCAAGGGCCCACCTATTAACATGAAGGCTAACCCATGGAGTCAGAAAGGGCCTCCCACCGGCAGCTTTAACTACCAAATGCGGCAGTTTGGGCCTCCGAGGGCCTACCCAGAAACCTCATTCGAGCCAGAGTCGATGCCAGAACACCAGGGGCCAAATCAACCAGAACACCAGGGGCCAAATCAACCAGAACACGAGGAACCACATCACACAGGACACGAGGAACCACATCACACAGAACATGAGGAGCCACATCACACAGAACATGAAGAAGCACATCACACAGAACATGAAGAACCACATCACACAGAACATGAAGAACCACATCACACAGGACATGAGGAACCACATCACACAGAACACGAGGAACCACATCACACAGGACATGAGGAACCACATCACACAGAACATGAGGAACCACATCACACAGGACATGAAGAACCACATCACACAGAACATGAAGAACCACATCACACAGGACACGAGGAACCACATCACACAGAACATGAGGAACCACATCACACAGGACATGAGGAACCACATCACACAGGACACGAGGAACCACATCACACAGGACATGAGGAACCACATCACACAGGACATGAGGAACCACATCACACAGAACACGAGGAACCACATCACGCAGAACACAACCAAGAACATGATCAGGGACATGGGCTCGGCGGGCGACCTGAGGATCACATCCCAGAAGAAATCCCTGCTCGTCCCTCTGGGGGTGAACAGCCTGAAGGTGAGACCATAGGTGTGTTCTAATACATAAAAACATTCTTAATCCTTACAAATATATATTGATATAATGCAATTATTATTAATTAATTTATTTATAATATATGTTACTTGACACAGATCAGCAAAAGATTCCAAAGCCGATTGTACAGCAAATGGCAGTAAACCGGTTGTATCTGTTTGACGCTAACAGCTTCTCTTCCTGTGTTTAGGCCGGGCTGTAGACAGTGAGACAGAAGATCGAGTATATCGAATGGAGGGGGATGTGCAGCGTCTGAACCGAGGCCTGGAGACCCTGACAGGAACTGTGAACGGACTGGAAGAAAGTCTCCGAGCCTCGCTGAGAGAGGACGCCAACAGGATGCTGTCGGCGCTGCTCTCCGCTGCCCCCGGTGCTGTCCCCGCTCCAGCTGGCGCCTCCGGTCAGTCCACTGTCGGGTTCGTAGAGATTTCTTTGGGAGGCCCTGAGGCCGAGGGTCTGGATGGCAGAACAGTGTTTCCAGGGCTTACAGAGCTGAACGGGAGGGTGGAGGAGCTCAGGACTGTGCTGCAGGCCAAGACATTAGAGCTGCAGGAACTCAAGGCAACAGTGACAGGACACGATGGAGCCCTGAAGAAGATGTCAGCAGGAATTATATCAGACTCCACGGTCAGCCTCGAAGGAGCTCCGCAGATAGCTATAGAGAACTTGATGGATGGCAAGCTGAGTGAAGCCAGGTCGGAGATCCTTGGTGGGTTTGAGGTACGAGTGAAGAGCGCAGAGGGCAAATGTGAGGAGAAAGCTGGGGATCTGCGTCGTCAGTGCCAGAGGGAGCAGAGCGAGAGGCAGGAGCAGATGGAGGACGCTCTGGAGGGAAGCAACACAGACCTGAGATCAGAGCTGAGAAACCTCCAGACGCAGATCCAAGGTTTGAAGGCTTCAGGGAACTGCTCCAGTAGAGTGGGTGGGCTGGTCGAACGGGTGCACAGGCTGGAAACATCAGTGGCCGGCCTCAACCAGTCCCAGGGGCACCTGAGGGTGGAGCTGGGCGGACACAGAGACCACATAGAGGGGATGCTGGAGGGGCGTCTGGGGTATGTAGAGGCCAAGCTCAATGTGACCGGGGAGTTAAGACACAACAGTTCTGAAAGAGGGAGTGTATTCCCTGAGGCAGGACAGAGTGAGGAGGAGGAGGCCAGGATGGAGGGTAGGCTGCTGGCTCTGGAGGGACGTTTACTGACGGCGTTAGAGGAGCTGGGTAACTCCACGTCCCCCGCACTGCAGGAGGGTCACGCTGTTCCCGCTCTGGAGACGGAGATGGATTCCATCAGAGAGAGACTGGAGGTGAATGTGGACAGACTGCAGAGGCAACTGAGCAGCCTTGAGACCCGCTGCACCCCTTCCTCTACTAAAACACCGTCTGCCATCCAAGGAGACTCTGCCGCCAATCCATCAGAGGAGCAGAACGTGAAGGACGCACTGGACATGCAAGGGGATCGCTTAAAAAGGCTTAACGTCACCCTGCAGAGCGTCCTGAAGCGTCTGCACCAGCAGGAACAAGCGGAGGGAGATGACCCCGTCCAGGGGGAGCTCACAATCCTCAAGTTCAATGTGCGCTCGGTCAACCACACCCTCAGAGACCTCCAGGAAACTCTGGGGACAGTCGTGCACCAGGTGGGACAGGCCAACAGCTCCTGGCAGATGAGCGAGGCGAGTCTGGCCAAGCAGATAAAGGGTGTGGTGCAGCTGGTCGGACATCAGGCCGCCATGCTCGGTGCAAGCGAGCGCAGACTGACCCGGGTTAAAGGGGAGCTGCAGGGCATGAGGAGGCGTCTGGCTGAGGAGGTGCGGGGCTGCCGGAGCACAGCCATGGGCGTCAGGAAAGAGGTGACTGAGGTCGGAGGGCGCGTTACCAGTGTGGAGGACCAGTGTAAGGGCCTGAGTTACCTGGCGGAGGACCTGGAGAGGATCAGGGAGGAGCTGGAGAAACAGTCGAGCGGTCTTCTGGTGCAAGTCAACGGGACGCTGTCCAGCCACGCGCAGCAGCTGTCGGAGCTCAGAGGAGAAGTGAGAAACTGCACGGCCCAGCTGGATCAACACAGTTCAGAGCCGGAGCCGAGGCGAGGAGACACCTTCGCTTTGAATTAGCTCAGTTCATACGGACAATATCTTTTTTAAATGAATGAAAAAGGGGGAAATACTCTGCAGGTGTAGTGGGGGTCCACTAAAACTCCATCTTATCATTTGAATTGTAAAATACAAAGGTTTTGAACCTGCACTGAAATGAGGATGGTTTTAGTCGGCTTACAGTATGAAATAAAGAATGGCAGCTGCACTAATAACACAACATCTTGAAAGTGGTGCTCGAATGAACTCTAAATGTTACTGTACTGTTTCTGTAAAGCTTTCCAACACATTTTGTATGAACGGTTGTTTACACGTTTAGGTTTTTGTATTGATTTTTCTTATGTCTAGACGAGTTGTGTATTATGTTTTTATATTGTTTAAGTTCTTGAGTATACTTTTCTATTCTGATTGTAATACTGCATAAAATGTTGGCGTTTCAATACTGGCAATCAAATAAACAAGTTTCTTTAATACGTGTGTTTTCTTGGTGCACAGCATGTCCAGAAGAAGTGTTGAATACATATCAAACATGTCTTGAGGTCCAACCCTGACTAGAGAAACTACACAGGACATGTTTAACTTCAGAGATTATGTTTTTATAATTAATGGCACAACAATCCAAAAGGTTAGCACTGAAAATCAATACTAAAAGCACATTCCCTAAGAGGTCGTCACTGCGAAAACAAACACAAATGGAAGGAAACAAACCAATGTCCCCATACTCGTCTCCCCTTGCTGCCTCCTGTTAAAGCAAACCGTCACCATAGTGCAGGCTCAACTTTAGTTTCTTAACCCTTAGATGCCCGAGTGGCTCTTGGTGGGTCTAAAACAGGGGTGTCAAACTCAATTTCATCGCGGGCCACATTCGCATAAAGGTTGCACTCAAAGGGCCGGTTGTAACTATATAAATATATAATATATACAGTATATAAAATAATGCATTATATCACATTATTGTCTCTGAATTGGATTATATTATTATTATGATAGGATAATAACTTATTAATTAACTACGTCTGAAAGCAGAAGTCCAGGGCAAATAATGGCAAGTCTCTTCAGTGTGCATGTCACAAAACGAGATGCATTGTGGGACATGTAGTTGATGGGCAACCTGCTTCCGTAAAGTGTAACCGTATAATAAACTTATTATATTCTTTGCAAGCTCTTGCGGGGCCACATAAAATGAAGTTGCGGGCCGCATTTGGCCCCCGGGCCTTGAGTTTGAGACCCCTGGTCTAAAAGGACCTGTATTAGAATAATATGTGTTTTTATGCCATTTTTGTCATTTTGGTTAAGAAACATCACTTGTATAATATTTAGTATTATATTTTGGTTCACACTAGAAATATTTTATATTTAATTTTTCACAATTTATAATTTTAGAAAAAAAATTTACATTTTGAAAAAAAGCGTTTTGAACATATCGATGCAAAGATCTCCGCTATTCTGAGACCCTCACAGTATTCCAGTCCCTTTTCAAAACTCATCTCTTCTCCTCTTGTCTACTCATAGCCCCCCCCCCATCAATCCATGCCGGTTGATCAAGTTTGATAGTCCTATACCCCCCACCCTAACCTTCCCTTATATTGTAAAGCGATTTTGAGTCCTTGAAAAGCCCTATACAAATATAATGTATTATTATTATTATTATTATTATTATTATTATTATTATTATTATTATTATTATACTGACAGGTATCAGATCTTGCTGTGTAAAATAATCTTCCTGAGAGGTGTCACTTGTGATGTAGTCTGTATGTCCTACAGTGAATGTATTCCTGACAGCAACAGGTGATAAGAATCAAAGGTTCCCAGAGGATCACATAGGAAATGCATGCGGGTCACTTTTGACCCACTTATGGAAGCTTGGGGTAGAAATACAAAAACTACAATTTCTTAAAATGTATCAAATGTAAATTTAAAATGTGAATGGCATGATATCCAAAACATGTTTTTTGAGGAATAGCTGGAATATGAAATGATAAAAAAATGTAATTACAAAGATACTTCAAGAAAACCACCTCACCGGGTCACAAAAGACCCCCTTATGCATCTAAGGGTTAAAATAAGTTGCCCTATAGAAAAATACATTCTTACTTTTTGACTTCAAACACTCTGCATGATATACAGTAATGCAGTAATGACTTCCAACCATTTCAATAGGACAGTTTAGATGGAGCCGCTTTGTGAGTGATATTAAACAAATGGTTGAGCTTTAGTTGATGCAGAGGAGTGGGAAAACCACAAGATGGCAACAGAGAAGCATTCAAATAATAAGACTGCTTGACATAGCCTTACATTAAAGTGAGTCTTCCAATCAAGTGTATGGGAACAGCCCTCGCATGCCAGAGAAACAATTCAATTAGTCATAATTGCCAAGGTGATAAAGACAAGGTGAGAAAGACAAGAGTAGCAGCCTACATGTAATCTTCCCTCTATGAGTGTAGCAGCACGGCCTACTGGGTAAACTTCTCATTGGGCCTAACAATAGGGTGATACGTGACTTTGCTTATAACCCTCACCTGTCATTTCCCGCTCCCCCGACGGACAAAAACCTATTAAAATGACAGCTATGTGGAGATGAGCCCACTGCTGCGTGAAAACGCTTTAACCCCAGACATGTGGGGAATAATAACCGCTGAAATGCCACAGAGGAAAAAGCAGGGCAGGCAGAACAGATTAGTGCAGTGAGTGATGGAGCGGTATCAGGACAGAAACATAGACCTGTAATGATGGGGTTTCATGAACACAGAAAGTGAGAGGAAGAGAAATGTGCCACTGCTTCCACAGGGAACCTTTTAAGGGTGTGAGTCTTTCCATTTCTCCCAATGGGATTCCTGAATCTATTATCAATTGAAGATCTATTCTGTGTACACACATAGAGACAACCTTTATTCATGCTCAACACAAATGAATGCTTTTACCTACAAATGAATCTTATGTGACTTCAAAAATATCAAGTTATACAAAAAATGTAAATGCTTTCTGTTACATAATAAATACAATCTGTTGGCTTAAGCTAGATTTCTAATGTTTAACAAACTGGCCAATTTAAAAAACACATTGTAAACACGTAGGATTGGTATTTTATGTGATTTTAATACAAATCTGACCATAGTGCTTTGCATGACTTTGACTGGTCGATAAGGATTACTGTCCATCGGTTGGAATACCTAAGTTTTATTAAAAAATTTGAATAAAAATGGATTAAAAAAAAGTTGTGACGTGATTCAGAATCCCCTTTGTTACTAACTTTCCCCCATCCCTTTACTTAACCTGCAAACATCTTATTTTCCATCACTTGCAGCATGAAGATGAACCTAAAGGCCACAGAGATAAGTAACAGAATATATGATTGTGCTTTCTTATTTCCCTTCTGTATTCCTCTCCTTCCCCCTGTACGCTCACACCTCAGTCGAGCCCAGACAGCAGCACATTCATCTTCTTTGTTGCCAAGAAGACACTTGAACAGAAAGGGCAGTCAGGGAAGTGTGGGGGTGGGGGGGGGGGGTTTCTTTCCTGCTCGATCATGTATCTGAGTGTGATTTGTGCTGCCTGCAGCTCACACACTGTCACCGGACAAGGCTTCCACCCTGATGACAGAGGGCGGAGCTGGCAGAGAGACAGAGGACGGAGGATGGAGTAAACAGTGTGAATCATCCTACATGACGTCCTCTGAGGAAAGGTGAAAGTGTGTCCTCATTACAGTGATGTCCGGACAGCAGACAGGGTGCGTTACAGCCAGGAAGCCCAGGAGAGAGGGACTTTCAATTAAAGACTCTTAGCAATGACCTCCAGGATTTGAAATGTCTCAAGAAGCAGAAGCTGTTGTCCTCCAATCTGAACAAGGTGTTAACATTTACAAAACATCTTGAAGTCTACCATCGTTATATGTTTGAAATGATGAATACAAGTAACAGATGTGGGGATACTGTAAAAGTGACATTCATTCTTATCTTATCTTGCAACCAATAAGCCTCTGGCTTTAGGTTTAAAAGCTTAATGGATTAAAACATATTGGTATAGTTCATATGGATCCCAGTGGTGAGGGTGCATGGTGCTAGAGCTGGATGCTATTTACTGCAAACATTTAAATACATTTATGCTGCAAATATATCTTGAAGGTTGATGGGGAGTGATGGGGGGTGATGGGGAGTGATGGGGAGTGATGGGGAGTGATGGGGAGTGATGGGGAGTGATGGGGAGTGATGGGGAGTGATGGGGGTGATGGGGAGTGATGGGGAGTGATGGGGAGTGATGGGGAGTGATGGGGAGTGATGGGGAGTGATGGGGAGTGATGGGGAGTGATGGGGAGTGATGGGGAGTGATGGGGAGTGATGGGGAGTGATGGGGGTGATGGGGAGTGATGGGGAGTGATGGGGAGGCCACTGGGATTTGCTCTTAGTTTTGTGATGCATTGTTGCCGGGTTGTTTTTGTTCAAATCAGAAGAACAAATATTTATATTGTCTTAATCACAAATGTGTGTATACAACAAAACAACGTTGTGTCTTTGCTGTGTGATGAACATAGATGGATTATTAAAGGAGCTCACATATCAGTCAAACACAAAGAAGGATACAAATCTTATGAGCACACATACGTACAGTACCTACGTAAATGGTCCCTGGACTAATAGTTTAACATGGTACGTTCATGTTGAGTGTGTAAAACATTGTTTTTACACACTCAACATGAACGTACCTGACGTCTAGCGGTCCAATTTTCAGATACAAATCTTTTTATTGCGTTTTGACGATGCCTAACCGTGTGTGTCATTTAGAAATGTAAAGAAAAAGATATGAGACAGTTTGTACTGATTGTATGTACAAAGAGAAAAATGATTAATGAAAAACACAAACAAACAATAACAACGGCTAAAGTAATCCCCTACAGTTACTGCCAGTGAGCCTCATACACACACACACACACACACACACACACACACACACACACACACACACACACACACACACACACACACACACACACACACACACACACACACACACACACACACACACACACACACACACACACACACACACACACACACACACACTCCTGAAATGTCCGGTTTGAGAATAGAAGTGAATATCAGATATGTTCAAGTTTCACGCAGGACTTTACATCCGTCAACCACTGTAAATGAGTGGTTCAAAAAAGCGTTCCAATTTGACCAGCCACTCAACATCTGACCATTGTTTCTTTGAGTGATTCATGCACAGCTGCTCAACATTTGCATATTTGACCAGCATTAGACTGATAAATGGTGCTGACTGTGTGAAGCGCACAATGGTCACACAGATTTACAGCAAGCACTCATTTCCTTCCACAGACAGCTGTTTTTTAATCAGCGTGATTTAAGGTAAATAAATAAATAATACATTTGTTGGTGCCGCTTAAAACACGAAAGGAAAGGGAAAACCCCAAAAA